GAGGAAAAAGTTACGAAAATATTGAAAATGTTATTCTTTGTTTGCTGATGATCATAATGAAAATATCCATTTAAAATAATTGAAAATATGTAACACAAAGTTTGGAAAAGTTTCTGCTGAAAAAAATAAGCCAGAGTTTACTGAGACTAAAGACAATTCAGAGAGCGTGTGAAATCATGTTTTTAATAAAAAGCACATGGTTACCATGCGTCATGATGTTTCAAGCAAAAAAAGAAATATAAAATGTACATTTTATTTTAAAAGAAAAACTTAAGTTTCGAATTAAGCGATAAACAGATAATAGTCAAACCATTATTCTTTTGGAAAAGGTGTCCTTTCTTCACAATTAGAGCCAAACTGTATAAACAAATCCAAAATATCTCGAAGCTTCCCTTCGGATTTCAAGCTATTTCCGGTTATATATTCCCTTACCCCGAGCCCGATTTTTAAACAATTATTTTAAAAAGGGAGAGAGGCAGTTTTTTCCCCCCTTGATTTTGAACAAAAAGTGTCAGTATTTTTTAGATTAAACAAGCCCGTAGAACGCGGGGGCCAAGGGGCCCGGTCCCCACTTTTTTCTGAGTATAGTATTTTGCTATACTAAATTTTCCTTTTGACCCCCCCCCCCCCCACTTTTTGATGTTGTAAAGTCGAGCACTGACAAATTAAAGGATTTGGACAGTAATTTTTGTTTTTGGTTTTGTTTTTTTTTTTTTAGCTTGTCAGATAATTTTGGGAAGTCCCCCACCACTCAGTTTATTTTTTTTTTTTTTTTTTTTTTGAAGGGGGAGGGGTTGCCCCTCCCCCACTTTTGATACTGTTGCTGCGGCCCTATTAGAAACAGATATGGCATAGAAATGCCTCAGTAAAAGCTTGAGCTTTAACTGTGTTTAAAGGAATTCGAAAAGACCCTCGTTTATTTTATTATTATAAATATTACTATTTCCAGTTAGAATTTACCATTGCTAATGCACATTCAGGATTTGTTTTCATTGTTTATACTTAGTATAAGAATATACTATTCATATAGGACAAATAGATGAAGTGACTTGATGACTTTTGGACTGTGGGTTTGAACAATTTATATTTATTACTGCTGACTATAAAACAGCTAAACAATTTAGCCACATTGATTTCTTGATAGAATAGAAATAAACTGTGGATTTTGATCCCTATATATTGGTGTAATAAAGCTGTTAAAGTATCACACTGCAGGAATAATCAATCTACTAGCTATAGATGCAATAGATGCCATGGTTCCGTTTGCGAATGAGGTGTAATTATTTCCGTCGCCATCGAAAATGACATGATCCATCGATACATCCGATCATGCGGTATATCATACTATTTTAAATTCAGTTTAGTTACACAATGGGCTTTTCATTTGAAGAGTCTTTTGTCCCACAAAATTAAAGCCCGTAATGTATTTTTTTTCAAGAGCAGACCACAGGTGCTTGTGGACAGGACCCCCCCCCCTCCCCCGAATATATACCTTGGGTCCAAGGAAATTTTTTATTCGTCTTTTTCCATAAATTAATCTTCTAGTATACATTTACAATGTATTCCATATGAAAAATCCAAAAATAATAACGTAGAATTAACGTTTTATTAAAAAATCATACCCGCGGTATTATAAAATAAAGCTCTATTTTATAATACCGCGGCAATGATTTTTTTTAATAAAACGTTAAGTCTACGTTATTATTTTTGGATTTTTTGATGCTTACTTATATCTAAAGCCACGTATTTCAGCAGGAATGGATCCAAGAATTTTTGTTAGGGTAACATAAAACATATTTTCAGAGGCTCCTTAGGGGGTCTGGGTGCCACCGAACAAAGCCCTGGTGTCGATCTAGGGCGGGTGTTTATAGTCCCTGGAAGATTATAAAGAAGATGGACGAACAAGGCGAGCGCAATGCCTCTAGTGCAACAACCATGAAGGTAAAAAATTAGATCTCAATTATAACAAAATTTTCTTTGATATTTCATCTTAAATTAAAGTATACTTTATGTAAAATCTCCACAATTTTGCAAAAATCTCACTAAGATTGAAATTATTTGCCTATATGAAATAGCATCACAAAAGGATCAATTTCCCATATTAAAACATAATTTTTCGGTATGAGTGGGTCCTCGGTCCATGTTTTTCAAATTTTGATAAAAAATGTACATTTTTTGGTCAACAAAAACATGGAACAAAGACCCACTATACCTTAAAAATACACTTTAAAGACACAACAATCGCATTTTTCCGAGAAAGACTTGAAGTCCATTTAGTCAAGGGTCACATCACAAACATGATTTAAATGCCACTATTTATCAGGATCTGTGTAGCGTATAGTGGTTAGTTTCAAAGGAAAATGATACTTAGGATTTTTATTGATATGGTACTGCAAACCACGAATACCACATTAATTTTTAATAACATAATAATATTGCCGAGAAAATTTTCCTCAGAAAAGTTTTTTTTATTATAATTTCATAAATTTCAATAACGAGAACTTTACTCTAAATACGAAATTCACAAATTGATTATTATTTTATATATCTGATGCTATAGGCATTCTGCGAACCTTGATCACCCATCTCCTTACAGATTGACTGACTGATTGTGTGTTGTTTTACGTCCCGTTCGAGAATTTTTCACTCATACAGAGACGTCACTATATTTCGGTGAAGGGCTTAGACCTTTACTCGGCACTCAGAGCCACTGAGCAGTGAGGGTTCTTTATCGTGCCAACGCCTACCGTGACACGGGTCTCGGTTTTTAAGGTCTGATCCGAAAGACCCGCAATTCTCACTTCAAAGTGCCGAGCGCTTGGCGAAGGAACAGTTGCTACCTATTTTTTTATCAACTTAGGTCAGTCGCGGCCGTGATTCGAACATAGTAGGCATATAAGTAAGTAAGTAAGTCACAGGGGGCCACCCCCGATCATTAATGTAGTATCAATTTAGTTTATATAGTTTCTCATCCGTTGATTTGGGGGGGGGGGGGGTATGCTTAATTGCTCCTCAATTATCCCGACCAGTAGATTTTTTGAGTCAGGAAAAACTTTGCCGTGTAAATGGTGAAGAAATGTTAAAAAAAGAAAAAGAAAGAATAAAAAAAATTTCAGCCATAACGCAAATTATTTTTAATCTTAAGTATGGCTCCGTGTAAAAATCATGCAGGGGGTGATACATGGGGGGTTTCAGAATTTTTTCAAACTTTGCCTGTTGGTAGAGTATGCTAAGATACTACAAAAAATAAAATGATTTTTTATCAATTCTGTGTCTTGTTGCCATGGCAACAGTTAAACTGTTTTCGGTAAAATATGGCTGAAATTTCCTCTAAAAATAGGCAAAAATATCAATATTTCAGATGAAATTAAAAGAAAATCAGACAATAAATCACATTCTTGTTTATTTCTCATTCAAATACAGCTCAAGTGGTAACTTTTCATAATTAATCAAAATATTTCCATGTCCAGTAAAATGTTCTAATTTTATACTGAAAAGGGGAGATAATCCATATTGACAAAAACAGCAAAATATCAATTTTTTGGGGATTTTCAGCTATCAAAAAATTAAAAAACCCAACAGCCAAACCAAAAGGCCATGCTAGTTTCATAGACACCATACCCTATAGAAAATAAAATAATTAAAACATTTTTGTGCAAATGATTATTATTTTCCCAAAATGATTGACGAGTTTCATACAAAAAATGGCAATTTCCCTTTTTTTGTCACTGTCCAATATATGCCATATATGTATGCATGTAAAAGGAAATTGACATTTCAACACAATTTCTTTACATTTCCAAACTCAAATACAACACAATTATTTACTTATCTTAATTAATCTAAATATTTTCGTGACCTGTAAGATGTTTTTAATTTTAAGCTGAAAAGGGGAGATAATCCATATTGACAAAAACAGCAAAATATCAATTTTTTGAGGATTTTCAGCTATCAAAAAATTAAGAACCCAACAGCCAAACCAAAAGGCCATGCTAGTTTCATAGACACCACACCCTATAGAAAATAAAATAATTAAAACATTTTTGTGCAAATGATTATTATTTTCCCAAAACGATTGACGAGTTTCATATAAAAAATGGCAATTTCCCTTTTTTTGTCACAGTACAATATATATGCCCTATACACATATCATGAATATATACCAGGAATACATGTAAGAATAAATTGACATTTTAAAAAAAATTCTCAATTTTCCAATTTGAAATACAACACAATTTTACTTTTCATTTAATCAAAATATTTTCATGACCAGTAAAATGTTCTAATTTTAAGCTGAAAAGGGAGATAATCCATATTTACAAAAACAGTATCATATCCCATTTTTGAGGTTTTTTTCAGCCTATAAATTTTTTTTAAAGTCCAACAGGCAAATCAAAAGGTCACGCTTGTTTCATACACACCATACCCTATGGGTATGATACATAGGGTATTATACAAGAATTGAAATTGCATTTATTTATTTTTTTGGGAGGGGGGGGGGGTTATATCTTGATCTAACACCCATAGAGGGACAATATTTACTTCCTTCTTTAGGATCGGTGAATGCATACACCTAGGCAAGCCAAACCATTGTAATGACCTCAAAAACAGAAATAACTGTATAATATACAATTTGACTTTTATTTTAATGATAATATAAAAATCATTTTATGTTTCCCTCTTGGTTACACCTTTCAATATACACCACAAGAATTTTGACCGAATTTTAACTGCATGCAATTACATGTATTAATTAAATGAATGATGTTTTTTACACATCATTACCAAGTCAACTGCTTGCTTTCCATTCAATTTTACCATTTACCCCACATCAAAATTATTAATTACTGGTACATGTATCAAAATCATTAATTGATAGATGTAAACAAAATTTTAGTAGTTTACATCTTTGTAAGATGCAATAATGCTGAACAAAATATCACTAATCTCCGATGCCTCTTTTGTAGTAACTGACTGTCCTTTTATTTACGAGTCTCTTCTAATGAAATATAAATCTGTAACCTAAAGGTGCTGAAGATCCATGGGAGATGAGAGTCCATGCCTGATTATAAGTATCCAAGTACCAGCATTGAATCCATTCTTTGAACTCTAATCTTTGTTATTCCTAAAATAATAGTTACATATAATTATCATTTACACATTAAAACTCATTGTTTTACATTAATTTAAAGGTATTAAAGGTTTTTTTTTTTTTGAATTTATAAATTACTTTACATGAAATCTCAAGTCTATGTAATGTAGTAATTTCATGTAAAATCTCAAATGGTTGCATGTGCATGGCATGTGGTCCCCCACCTTTGGAGTCTTATTAGTTGGTGGTGTGCAATGATGTTTTTCTTGCTGTCTCAAAAATACTGTCAGCTTTTCCTTCATAACCATGATGCAAACCATCTTGCGCATTCTGTGAAAATGATATAGGGTTTCATTTCAAAAGTATACAATTCAAATTACTAATTTATGAAATATATAAAATATCTTTACCATATTTTCTATCATTTATGTCTCAGGTTTTAACCATATTACAATTTAAACTGTAGCCAGTTATGAATTCTGTAATCTTGCTACTGATTAAATTAAAACTACAAAATCAAATACTCTCACAGTACCTGTTATAAAACACTTTTGGGTCTTCCCTTTTCATTCTATCTCTTCAGCCAAACAAGTTCTTTAAATGATCATTCTGAAAAACAACAAGGAATATTTTTCATCTAGATTTATATGCAATATGACATACATATGTACATAGAGAGAGAGAGAGAGAGAGAGAAGGTATAAAGACAACTAAATATACCTATTTAAAAACCCTAAATTAAATTTACCTGGTGATTACAAAGCACAGTACACTGTTTTTTATATACACTAGCCTGATTAAAAATGTTGTTGGGCCAGTAAAATGTAAGTCAGCAATAGCTTGACAAGACTAATAGAATTTTCAGTGATATATCTTTTACAAATTATACCATCAGTAATGTTAAAAAATGTGCATAAATAGCCTTGTCTGAAAAATTATATATTTATTAAATAAATCAAACTTTTTAAGTGGTTTTTATATCTTGGTTGATTTTTTTACTGTCCATACTTGATTTTGTTATTTAGTTATCATTTCTGACTAGTGCCATGTTGACATGGATAGAGCAAACAAGAAGCCAATTGGCCACAATGCTCACCTGAGTCAATATCTTCATCAGCAGATTTTTCTAATATATTCGTATGTAAAACTTTGATCCCCATTGTGGTCCTACCCTATCCCAGGGGTTCATGATTTCAACAGATTTGAATCTACACTAATTGAGGATTCTTCAATATATACATGTATATGTATGACTAATCATGGCTTTGCTGTTCTTAAAAAGAAGAATTATCACTATCTAGTGTGAAACTTTGATCCCCCATTGTGGCCCCATACTACCAGTATGTCTAGTTCTTGAGAAGAAGATTTCTAAAGATTGTTACTTAGTATCTACATTTTTTTAAGTAAAATTTTGACCACCCATTAAAGCCCCATACTACCGCCACTTTTTACAAAAGTTTCAACCCTTTTGGCCCAGTTTTTCAATCAAAAGATTGATAAAGTTTTATATATATATATATTTCTATATGTAAAACTTTGATTGCTTATTGCGGCCAATCCATATCCCTTGGGATCATGATCTGAACAAACTTCCCACTACATTATGTAATAAAGCTTTCACATAAGTTTCATCTTTTCTGTTCCAGTGGTTCTTGAGAGGAAGATTTTTGAAAGATTCATTAAATTTTAACTAATTTTTAATTATCTCCCCTTGAAAGAGGGCAAGGCTCTTCATTTGAACAACACTGAATCTCCTTCATCCAAGAATGCTTTGTGGCAAATATGGTTGAAATTTGCCATGCAGTTCTGGAAGAAGATGAAAATGTGAAAAGATTTTAAAAAAGATGACACTGACACCTGGAACAACAACAGACATTTGACAAAGTGTGATCAGAAAAGCTTACTTGAGCCTTTGGCTCAGGTGAGCTAAAAATCAAAACCTATACCATAAAGCATTTACTTCTTTTAATTAGTAAAATTTACATGTTCATTTTCAATTTGAATTACCGTAAACCTGGGGCCTAAAATAAAAATTAATTTGTTTTCAGTTGCCTACGCACCCACTGAAAATGCACCCGACCCAAACGTTTTTTTCAGCCATTTTGTATTATTATTTTTTTAAGTTTCAGTTTTTTCAGGATATTGAAAATGTTCCATTTTTAGCTCACCTCAACGAAGTTGGGGGAGCTTATGTAATACCCTCGGCGTCGGCGTCCCAGGTTAAGGTTTTTGGAGCAGTTTTCTTTTCAAGTACTTCTATGGCCTATATTAGTCAGAGATGCATGGAGGATGCTTCTAGTGTGTTTTATTGTACCAGTCAAGGTTTCAGATGCTGCAATTTCAGCTAAAGAATGACCAGGTTAATGTTTTTGGAGCAGGTTAAAGTTTTTGGAGCAGGTCTCATTTCCAAGTAACTATAAGCCCTATATTGACCAAACTTGCATGGATGATACATCTAAGGATTCACATTACTGGACTTGCTTCGGATGCTGGATCTGACCTACATTTTCCGGATGAGTAACCAGGTTAAAGTTTTTGGAGCAGATCTCATTTCCAAGTAACTATAAGGCCTATCTGAACCAAACTTGCATGGATGATGCATCAAGGGATGAACAATCTCAAAACTTGCTTCGAATGCTGGATTTGACTTACATTTTCTGGATGAGAGACTAGTTTTAAGTTTTCAGATAAGTCTATTCCCAAGTAACTGCAAGCCCTATCAGACCAAAATTGCATAAATGTTGCATCTAGGGATGCACCCTCCTAGATTATTAGTTTAGTGTGGGACTTTGCCTTACTTAAAGACAACATTCGTTGAGGTGAGCTCTGTAATCTCTGATTACCTATGTTTTATTTTTGTTTTTATCAAGTGAAGCTTATTTATGTTAAGTAAGCCTTGAAGTATGAATATCTCTATAATTTGTTATCTAATAAAAGTCTGAAAAATAACTTATTTTCAAAAAAAAAAACCTACCTATCCACTCTAAAAATTATATGTCGGCAACTGCAAACAAAGAATTTTTTAAGCTAATGGCCCGGCCGGGCCTTCCCACTGAATCCCTTAAATTTGGCCACGTTCAATAATTGTTGTTGTGTGGGACATGTATTGATTACTGATGAGAGCACAGACAATGTTTCATACTTATATGATGTTAAAACGTTCTATTGTTAAGATGATACTCTCCTACATACCCAGTTTAATGATAGAATGTGTATTAGCAATGTTATGTAGCAAAACAAACTGGGCAATAGGTATTATTTAGAGAATGAGACGGGTTTTGTATCGTAGATACAAATTTGGGGGTGGACGAGTGCATAGCATTAGTCTCCGCCCCCAATTTGTATTTACAATACAGAACCTGTCGAGTTCTTTAAATGATTAGTGACATGATCAATCAAGAAAAAGCACCACCCACTTTATAGCTGTGCAGCATCCAAACTTCTGCCAGAGTTTGTTTGTTTTCTCTGTAGATGAGGCCTTGATGGGGAGTATGCCTCCGCAGTAGATATATATTTCCACAGACAACGTAAGATTTAGTCAGATTTGTTTTGACAACGGGGTAGACGTTGTCTTAACTGATAAGGTGGACAATTTAACCTTGCTGTAGATGGAGACTGATCCTAATTTATTTCAGGGGTCTTAAAATCTCAGTTTAACTAGATACACATGCAGGCGATACAGACAGTTCTTCAATGAACTTTGATGTCACAGATTTTTATTTTCTTATTGAAATGCGACATTAAATTTAAAAATGAAGAGAAAGAGATGTGCGGTAGTCATCAGCGATAAGAATTTAAGATGAAATGTTAAAAAAAAAATGCTCAAAATGGACTTGAATGAGTTTGCACGAGAAGAGTGGAAAATGGGTGGGGGGGGGGGGGACCGTGCGAAGTTCACGTAATGTATGCTGCACCCCCTGAACCCATAAAGCAGGGAAAGCAAACAGGTTTTCAGAAATTTATTAAACATAGGATGCTTTCCATAACTGCGAATTTTCCTTTTTGTTTGGATCGAAATAACGTGTAAAATATGTGTAAGACGTCATTTTTTTCAAAATGGACATGATATTGATACATGTAGGAACTGGCCATCCCCAATAATTTTCCCAATACATACTTTACTGTATAAAATATCAATAACCATATATAAGAAGTAAATTTAAATTAAATCCTACCTATCAAGCTATTCAAACAGCTGTCCAAATGTACCGGTGGCGCCGGTACATTATCTTCCCTCTCCAAGTTGAGTAAGCTGACACAATCGGACTGCAACTCCTCTCTGAGGGCTTACTCTTGGATTCTGGTGGATTAGCTTAGAAGCTAAACTTCCGACATAGACCATACTGATGTCAGTAGTAAGGAAAATTGCTGATACCCTGATCAACACGATGACAGTAATATTCCCAAGCTACACTTTCTCGTTTCACGGATTTTTTTCCTCTTAATTTTACACGAGCTCTGTGTCCAATCTGTTCTTGTATATTCCTTTCAATCATTTTTACTCAATTCACACGGATATTTGCAATGAACACCACATGATGCATTAAAATAACTTTGCAAAGTACAGCTTTTCATGGAGGCCGCCATTTTTTTACTACCGCCACCTATAAAAATTTCCTAAGGGAGATAACTCATACGAAGAATCTTAACAAATTCCAGATTTTTAACACCCTGTATCTTTTCAATCCTTCGTTTGCACAAAAATATTAGAGTAAATTTAATTTACACTTTCCATTTTCACTGTAATTATGTGTTTAGATTGTATACATCTTCTTGGGTTTAGAAGAAATTATTTTCTGAAATATGCACTATTTACACACTATCCATACAAAATTACCCCTGGGGTACCCTATCCCTAGCTACATTAAAAAAGAAGAATTATAACAAATCCATTCGTTATCATTCATTTTAGACCCAAATGAATATATTAAACTCAGTTTTAATGAATTTGCAGATTATCGATGTAGCGCCTTTTCTGTGCTACCTGCATGATTTTTACACGGAGCCCTACTTAAAAGTTTAAAATTATGTGAAATTTTCATATATATTCTTTAGGATAATAATTCCTGTATATATACATGTACAGTATGTATATAACACATTATCATTTCAGTCGAACATTTAAATGATATTCATGTTATCTATAATTATTATATATCTTTACCTTAAGGGCGTTCCCTACCAAAAATTAATAAAGAAAGAAAGAAAGAAGTTAAAGTAATTAAAAAAGATATTTGGTATATATTTTCGGATTTCGATGACCGAGGATAACCCATGAAAGTCAAGGACTTATTTTCCAATTGGGTCCTTATAGTTTTACATGTATAGTAGATGTTAAGTAAAAAAAAAAGTATTATAATGAAGAAGTGGGATGAAGTTAACAAGACTGTTGATTAAAAATGAAATGTTTTATGCATATACAAAGTATACATGACTATAATCATGATCAACTGAAAGCAAAATTTGAGACAAATAAAATTTATATATATACAGTTGGTATACGTGCCTGTTTTGAGCGAATAAAGAGTCATGATTCAATTTTTAATTTTCATTATATATTTCATTGAAAAATATTGTTTTTTTTAAAAATAAAATTAAGCTTATAATTAGGGATGTCAAAATATTTATTTTCTTTAGTCGAATATTCGATTGCATTATTCGAACGATAGTCGAATATATTCGAAACTTTTTCGGAAACTAAAATTTTATTTCAAACTTCAATGGTACATGACATATTTAACCCCAAATCCCCTTTTCTTAAATTTATTAAAAAGTTACATCAAATGTTACACACAAAGATTTTCACATGGACCTAAAATGTGGATAGCGTGTTTATATTTACTAAATATAGACCGCTAATTCACCAAAATATATGATTTCCCCGTCAATCATGTTCATAAATCGGTCTGTAAAGTCGTTTTTTAAGGAAGCATAAAAAATGACAGTACGATATATTTTTTTTAAAAGCTTATTAAAACGAGGGGGCACACACGGTGTCTGTGATAATGTTAAATATTTGAATATACTTTTTGTACCAACTATCAAATGCCTTTAAAATATGTAAAAGAATATTAATTTTATAATAATTACCGTAGTGTCCAAACATTTCACAGCTATAATGGGTAAATGGTATGAGATCAAGTCCAATTAATAATTTTACAAAGAAAGCGCAGTAAAGCGAGATAATTTTATTACAAAAACAACATTAATTGACAAATAATTCTCGCGGAAGGGAAGCATTTCTAATTACTGTACTCTCTACATGTAAAGGCAGTTTTTAATGAGGAAAATTATCTTATCGTCTGTGTCTGAGGAAAGACAGTTTCTCAATTTTAGGATGATAATTCCATCTCTTTATCACTCTTTTATTGAATTTAATTATTCGAATGTCGTTTCGTTATTCGATCGTCGGTCCATTCGACTGATAGTCGAATAGTCGATTATTCGTTGACATCCCTACTTATAATGCAATATTACTTGACAATGTTTATTTCAACAGCTGTTCAAATGTACATGTAATTTACACCATTAAATGCTGAATTGAAAAAGTTTCTTCCCATAGTGTTAAAATAATGCTGCACGTGCATATACATGTAAATAATCTGCGATAACATAAAAGAAAATCAAATGTTATCAGGAAAAATTTAAGGACAAAAATATGAATAAGAAACTAACTTGAGTATTCCTGGTATTCTGGGGTAATTAAGAAATTTTGATTTGACGATTTCATAAATTTACGATTTTTAATTAATGATCAATGTATCACATTTTGTGTGTCAATATGTTTTCATAAAAAGAGGATTTCAATGAAATATGTAAAGTGAAAAAAAAGGCCACTTTATATTAAGGTATCTTGTGGTAGGGGGACATATCACTTGAACCTTGGGAGAAAACACATGGTCGAACTGTAAAAAGCCGTGCATGCATGTGCATGATGTACGTATGTAGATTCAAATTCCCGATCCTGTGGAAGAAAGGCTCTAATCTATATACCACAGGCACTTGTTTCTGTAATAAATTTTTAACCCATAGTATAATAATAACACAAGGTATCCAACTCCGAATTACACGGAGTACCCCCCTCCCTCAGAATCGCACTCATTTACAATTTCAGAGGACATGCACTGGCAAACTGTTTATACCTATGTCTTCTACGATAATTTATCTACACAACCATATATGGCATGCTTGTCTTTATTTTCTTTCGTCTCCGTAAACAGCGTCAAAACTCGATCTACTCGCCGTGTGGAAAAGTCGAATTCAATCATGAAATGGTATGTGCTAATCCCGCACAGATATTTCGATTGGCTAAAAATCTGTTTCTAAAATTACATCGGATAAACATCGTAATGTTTTCAGGGAAAATCAGACGTAAACAAGTTCTATTTACTCATTCAATATTTAAACACTGGAATTGAATTTTTAAACCCACTCATTTTTTAATTTTGTTCTCTGTGCGGGATTAGCACATACCATTTCATGGTTGAATTCGACTTTTCCACACGGCGAGCAAAGTTTTGACGCTGTTTACGGAGACGAAAGAAAATAAAGACAAGCATGCCATATATGGTTGTGTAGATAAATTATCGTAGAAGACATAGGTATAAACAGTTTGCCAGTGCATGTCCTCTGAAATTGTAAATGAGTGCGATTCTGAGGGAGGGGGTACTCCGTGTAATTCGGAGTTGGATACCTTGTGTTATTATTATACTATGGGTTAAAAAATTTCTTACAGAAACAAGTGCCTGTGCTGCGTACCTGTGCTTGGAAGGCCTGGGAAAAAATAATATAGTTCACTTGCAAGACATTCGGCTTGTAGACAATGGTAGAACTGATCATCACAAACTATTTAGGGATTTTCAGTGCCCCCCCCCCATCTTTTTTTTTCAACCCCCTAGTACACAAACATTTATAGCTATCCCACTCCGTTTCGATACCTATCTGACATTTAAACATAAGATTCTCATTTTGAAACGTACGTGACCGGGTTTAAACCATATTCTACTTTTAGCACATATGTACCCGTGGGGGCGTAGTGACGTCACAAAAAGAGCACATGGAGTTAAAAAGAATTTCGCACTGGCCTGTCAACCGTGGATTTCGACAAACGATGTCAACAAAGTATAGATAGTACAATGACTGAAATTAATAATGGTAAGTGACTCTTAAGCTTGTCATTTATAAGCACAGAAGAATTCAAATGCCCGAAATCTTTTACTAGGGCCTAGTTTTTAGAGTAATAACTATGTTATAAGACATATTATACATGTAACATTCTCAAGAAGCACTCCCGAATTTTCTCCTTTGGGAGAATTTTTCTCCTTTGAACTTTTGAAAATTATGCTGTTGTGGTGATTTTTTCATCTTAAATTACAAGTGAGCCTTCTGGGATTTGTAGAGTATGTTTGATTTATACAAAATCACAGCAGGCTAATAATTAAAGGATTCGAAAAGGCGGGGGGGGGGGGGCACTTCATTTTGGGGGGTGGGTGGGTGAGGGTAGGTGGAATGCAGAAGTTTTAGACAGTAGGAGAGTTGTTTTGTGTCACAGACTTTAGTTTGGAGGTGGAGAGGGACAAACGTAGGTAACTTCTCCCCATCCCCTCTTCTTCTAAATATTCCCTTCTCTATTCCTTACCCCCCTCCCCCCCCCCCCCCCAAAAAAAAAAGAAAGAAAAGAAAACCCCTTATGTTATCCTTTTTTTGTCAGTCCTTTCTCTCTGTCCTCCCATTTACTCTGTTGCATACAGCTGACAACTGCGATTTCAAACCTTTTATTTTTCTTCATGTTCAATTATATAGTATATTGCTGGGTTGGTGGGGTATCATAATGTGCAATGTACTTCCAATGTAGGGTAGTGATGATGTTTTTTTCTTACCTATTTTTGCACTTTATAAAAAATGATTAGTTTTCTTAGGGACCTACAGTGTATACATTAAGTATATAGTTAGTATAATAATATATATAGGTCTGGTTTTCTTTATCATAAAACTAAAAAGGAGGATATATTGTTCAACATGTTCATTAATGTACAGATATATATATTGCTTGAAATCTGGTATCACATCTATTGTGGCTCTGCTAGCTGAGTGTAGTATGATTTGTATATTGGATTTCTGCACAAAGTGAGAGAACAAATTATATAGATTTAATATGAATTACCGGTAGTAAATTGTCATTTTTTGGATACTATATATAGATCAATGAGTAGCATCAGGCCCGCAGTAGGAAGCAATTTCAATTGGGGGGGGGGGGGCATAAATTTTCAGTTGGGGGGGCACAACCATAAATTTTCAGTTGGGGGGCACTATTGATTTCCCCAAATACCAAAAAAAAAAAAAGGTCATCAGATGTTATTATTAAGGGGGCACAAGCATATAGTATAGTACATGTAGCTATGCTTTCTATAGTATTCTGTACATGTATATCGACA